ACCCCGGCCAGAGCGCGGCCCGCAGCGGCCTTGGGTCGGCAGCGTGTCGCTGGTAACGGGGCACCCAGACTGATGAAGGCCAGCTGGGGACAACACGTGCAGAGCAGAGAGAAGGACCAGGACCTGTCTAAGGCAGAACAGCAAGACCCCCGCCTCGAGAAGGGACCGCAGGGAACAGATGAGGACGAGCTGGCAGATGGCGAAACTGCTGGCAGGGAAGACCAGCCGGTGAGGCGAGAGCCGGGGCTCTGTACAGAGGGCGAGCAGGAGGCGCCTGAGGGGGTGACAGGGACAGAGACCCACGGGAAGCAATGAGGGTAGCGGCCAGAAGGACGGTAGTGGGGGTGCCTGTGTCCTGGGCATCCGTCCCAAAGCACCACCAACGGGGGCTGGAGACAACAGGGTGTTGTCACCTCCGTTCTGGAGGCCAGGGGGCCAAGACCCTGGTGTCGCAGGGCTGGGTCCTCTGGGGACTCACTGCCCCTGATGCCCCAGCTGCCATGCCACCGGCCCCCTCCTCTTTGTCCCCTTCTCTCCCCAGGATACTGATTATTGTCAGGGCCCCCTGGGTGACCCAGGATGGGCTGATCTCCAGGTCCTCAGATTTAATCCCATCTGTAGGACCCTTACCCTCCGTGAGTTCAGGTCCTCAGGCTCTGGTGGACGTGAAGTCGGGGGGGACACCATTCACCCCGCCGCAGGGACTGTCAGGAGCATTCTTCGTCTCCCAGGAGGCACAGCCCCATCGGGTGTAAAGAGAACCAGACCCGGCAGCCACGCCAGGGGCTTCCCAGGGCCCCACCAGGCTGTCGCACTCATGTTGCTCCTCTCGTGCGTGTGATGGGGACACGTGACAGGAGCTGTGTCACTAAGTCTAGGCATGCTGCTCCGAGAAGTTGGAAGCGAACACCACGGGACACTCTGTGTCAGCTCAGCTGCACCGCCACCATGCTGCACGGACGCGGGTGCAGCTCAGTCGCCTTCCAAGCACTGCGCGTGGCGGTCAGGCAGCGAGGCCCAGGGGCAGCGGTCAGCCTGGCTCTCGCGAGCTCTGTGGCCGGCCCACCTGCGACCCCTGCGTGGCTTCCTCCCTCGCCGTCAACGTGCACAGTTCAGTGGTTCCTCCTGTAGTCAGAGTGCAGCCACCTCCATCGAGTTCCAGAACATTCTCGTCACCCCATAACGAACCACACGCTCGTCACCCATTGCCCCTTCTCCCCCAGCCCCTGGCCACCAATTGTCTGCTTCCTGTCTGTGGGTTTGTTCTTGGGGACAGTTCTATAAACGGAGCCCTCAGGGCAGAGCTGGCGGCTGCTTTTCCACACAGTGTTTGCAAGGCTCTTCACCGCGCGGCGAGCACCCGGACTCCCTTTTTAGGGCTGAATGATACTCCACTGGATGGGTATGCCACATTGTGCTCATCCACTCTCTTCAGTGGGGGACACCGGGTTGTCTCCACTTTGGGCCATTGGGACTCATGCTTCTGTAGACACTCAGGTAAGTTGTATGGACACAGGTTTTCAGTTTCGGTCCCTTTTAGCTGGGGAGCCACTTGGCGCCTGCACGTGGGACGCAGGCAGAGAGGACGCACGGGGTTTGGTCTGTATGCCCTGAGATCAGGCCCCGAGCACAGGAATTTGACAAGCCTGTGGGGAGTAGAGGTGGGGGCATGCACTCTTTCGGCACCTGTACCCTAGCTTTCCTCTGGAGAGGCGCCCCTCCCACACTCAGCCCGCGTGGGAGGTCAGCCCGGAGCAGTCAGGCCACCTCTTCTGGGAGAATGCAGCCCAGAGCGGGGAGCAAAGCCCAGAAAGGAGGCTGAGCCCAGGGTGCTCGGACCCCCAATCCATGTGCTGGGTCCTGACCCCAGGACCTTGGGGTGTGGCTGCATTTGGAGATGGGCCTTCACAGAAATGATTAAGGTAAAATGGGGCCACCGGGGTACCCTAACCCCATATGATTAGGGTCTTCATAAGAAGAGGAGGTCAGGACACAGACACCCCCAGAGGGACAACCGTGAGGACATGGCCATCCACACGCCGAGGAGAGAGGCCTCAGAGGGAACCAGCCCTGCCCACACCTGGATCTCAGGCTCCCCCACTCCAGGACTGGGGACAGTAAGTGTCTGGTTTAAGCCGCCCTTCTGTGGCATTTGTCACGCAGCCCAGCTAACTGACACAGTATCTACCGCCAGATGCCAACACAAACATCCCCAGTGTGATGACACAAAACCGCCCTCACTTATCCAGATTGTCTCTCCCTGCTCCACTGACAGGGCTCAGCAGGGCAGTTATCAGGGTCCCTGCAGCTGCCCCGGATGGTGGCTGGGGCTGTGCCACCTCCAAGGTTCCTCACGCATGAGGTGGCCCTGCGCTGGGGAGACGCCGAGGCCCAGCTAGACCAGCGGGGTCCTCGAGAAAGGGAGAGTGGAAGGCAGGCGAGGCTGGATCGAGGGGCTCAGAAGACATGATGCATACATGTGTGTGTACATGTGGGGAGTATAAAAATAGAATTGTTTGTGAGTTTTTTCTGCCTTCTTTCTCATAACTTGTTTTTTCACTCAGCAATGTCTGCATAGCCTGTTGGTACGTCTGAATGTAGCCCATGCTTTCTTTTTTTTTTTTAGTCCATTCTTTCTGACTTCAATGCCATGTCCGTCTCCTGGGTTTACCCACTGTGGTCCATCCAGGGAGCCACCAGCCTGCACAGCACCCTGTGGGCTTAGAAAACGGGCCCGTTTCTCCAGTGGGACATGACCCCACTCCAGGAGTCACAGATGGGCCAACAGGTGCAGGTGGGACTCCCACGCTCACCCAGCTCCTTGACGACAGCCAGTCTGTCCACTGGCCCTGGTGTAGCTGGTGAGGGCTGGATGCACATTTGGGCAGTTCCTGTTTGTTTTTACCATCCCATTCTGCATTAGCCTTCTTCTGAAAAAATGGGAGTGTTTTTCGAGGGCAGACACCATGAATGGTGGGCCATCGAAAATGCGCATTTCAAATTTTAATAGCTGCTCCCCAGGGAGGCTGTACCAGCTGGCACTCCCTGAAGTGGCACCGGAGTCCTCACTCCCCACACCCTCCTGGGCACATGATGCTACACGCCTTCTTCAGCATTGCCCAGATGGGTGAAAAGTGGCCTCTCGTCTCTGCTTGGATTCTGGCCACATTCAAATGCCAGCATTCAGTGGCAGGCTTGAACTGAAAACAGCAGCCGTGGTGCCACACAGCCCCGTCCATGAAGTGACTCATCCCCTCACATCCTTGGTTCCACGTTGTTCACCAGCTGTCATCTCTCTGGGGAGAGCCTGTCTGTAGGCTCTTCCTATGCTTGTGACCCTAGGACACTGTCACAAGCCACCACTCGTCACAAGGCTTCCTACAGCCCCTCGGCCAGTGTTCTCTCTCCGAGTCCTCAGATGCTGGGCAGAACTCTTACACAGTGGGGTCGACCGCTCACGCGTCTGTTCTGAGCCCCTTGATCCAGCCTCGCCTGCCACCACTCTCCCTTACTCAGACTTCGGCACCTCCTTTGCTCTCACCGTGGTCAGTGCAGGCAGCTCACTCACTTCCATCCCCCAGCCACGTGGCTGGTTCAGGGATGGACGCATGAGCCACATCATGGAGTGACGGGACAGTGGCTTGAGAAAGTCTGTCTGCAGCTGAGCCTGCTGAGCTGGATGTCGGGCGTAGGTGCCCTGTGCCGCCTTCGCTGCCATCTGGAGAGATCTTGCCTGAGGATGAAGCCCACACAGAGATGGAGAGAGAAAAACCGTATTCTGATCTCATCCTTGTGCGCCTTGATCCAGGCTTGCCTGACATCGGTCTGCTCTGAGATGCCCCACTTCAATGAGCCCATACATGTCCCTTCCTGGACTCGGATGCGCTGGTGGAAAATTCGGGATGTGCCCGTGAAGGGTCCCAGGGATGCTACGGAAGACTCGCTCCCCGTGGTCTCGGTCTGCCAGATGGTCTCCTGAATTAGGGGCAGCACCCCCAGAAGGCCGGGAGGCCCTGGAAGTCACAGGGGAGGATGGTGAGCTGGGGATTCTGCCTGGAACCCGTCCCTCAGCCCCGCAGACTGGGGGACGTGGGTTCAGTGGAAGTGCCTGGGCCTCAGTTGCCCTGTCTGTAGAATCGGACTTCAATCCCGACATACCAGCTAAGACTAAGAGAGTGAGGGGCAGTGGACGGGGAGCAGTTGTATGTAGCCAGGCAGGCACAGACAGCCAGCGTAAGGTGTGGAGGCGTCTGCCTTTGAGCCTCGCAGCCACCCCCCATGCCCTGCCCAAGACCTTTTGGCTCCGTGACCTCCTGCAAGTTATTTAATTTCTCTGGGCCTCAGTTTCCTCGTTTGAAATGAGAATAATACAATAGCTTCTATCCCATAAGATGTTATGAGAAGGAATGAGATTATATGTGGGAGGCGCAGAGCATGTGCCCTGCACACACTAACCCTCAACAAGTCAGCTATTAACATTTTTCCTCCCCAAACCCACAGTGACCACAGACCCCTGGCCCTGGCTGACCTCCCGCCCTCAGACTCGTGCTCCTGACGGTGCCCCAGCCCCTCCCACGCTCTCACCCCGGCCCCTGCCACCACTCACTCCCACCCAGCCCCCACCCGCTTCCTACTGCGGTGCACGGGCTCCACCAAGCGTCCGCCGGGCGCTGCGGCTGCGGGGCCGAGTCCCCAGCAGTGACCGCCAATCCGAGCTCCTGCGCGGGGTCCGCGTGCGCACACCGGTGGGAGCCGGGGTCAGCCCCCCGGGGGTGCGACCGGGACCACCGGACTCTGCACCCACCAGCCCGCTCGCCTGGCTGTCTGCGACCGTCTGGGGACACTGGGCAAGCGCCTTCCCTACGGCGACCGTAGCCCCGGTCCCCCGGTGGACTCGCGCGGCGGGCGTTGGTGGGGGTCTCAGCATCCCCGCGGGGCGCGGGGCGCTGGCCCTTTAAGGAGGCGGGCGGGGCGCGCTGTCGAGGTCATTAGCATGTATTAGCATGCCCCGCCCCGCCGCTGGGTGGCTCAGTCCGCCGGCAGCCGCGCGCGGGGCGCTCCGGGCGCGGGGACGTCCACGCCGCGCCGCCCTCCCTGTGAGCGCGATGCCCGGCCCGCCGCGCCCCCGGGCCCGGGTCCCGCTGCTGCTGTTGCTGCTGCCGCCGCTGCTGCTCGCTCTGGCGGCCCGCGGGAGCTGCGCCGCGCCCGCGCCCAGCGCCGAGGACCTCAGCCTGGGGGTGGTGAGTGCGCGGCGCCGGGTCGCGTGCGGGGGGACCCCATCAGGGCGCCCTGGACCTATTTCCTGGGCAGGACCGCTGAGGCGCGGCCGTGGGCTGAGTGCCTGGCGCGCGCGCACGCGGGGCTGGGGAAGAGGCGCCGGGTCCCTTTCGGACCCGTGCGCTCGGAGCGGCTGTAGCCGCAGGAGCCCGCGGAGGCGGGGGGGTCGCCTGACCGGAGCCCCCGTCCCCGGCTTGGAGCGGCCCCGAAGGGGGACCCCAGGCGGGTGGGACAGCAGTCGCGGCCGCCCGAGGCAGTGCGCCCCGCGTGCGTCCCCAGGGGAGGGGCGGGGGGAGGGGCGCGCACTCACAGCGGAGGAAAGGCTGGGGCTGCGGAGCGTGGGGGCCCGGGACGCCGGTGGTTCTCGAGTTTGCTCCGCTGAAGGTGTTGGGGAGTAAGGGAGCCGGCCCCCAGCCTCCCCTGGGCATGCATGGATCTCGGTCCTGTCCCCCCTCCCTTTCCACCGACCAGGGTGGCCAGCCTTGCCTGCCTCCCCTCCCCCGTGACCCTGTCCTGAGCGTGATGGGGTCCCCCTTTCATTCCGAGGCTCGGACGCAAGCCCGAGCGCCCCCGTCCCCCAACGCCAGCTGTCCCACTGATTTAGGAGCTGTCCTGGGGGTGGCAGCAGTGGCCTCTTCCCACAACCCCTCCCCCCGTTCCGCCCGCCGGCTTGAAGCCGCCTCTGAACCTGGAAGATTTAGATCGGACTTTGTGGGTTTGCCACCCCCAGGCCTGGAAGCCAGGCGAGGGCGCGAGGGGGCCTGTGGATGAAGCCGATGCCCTCTGAGGCTTCCGCCCCTGCAGCTGCCTTCGCTGCGCTCAGACGCAGGAGCCCGGGGCCCGGGGCCTCGCCTCCCCGCCCTGCGCACAGCTCACGTCCCCGGCAGTGGGTGCTGGCGGGCCCCTCTCCCAACGACATTGGCATTCGGAGCTTAGGTGGATTTCAGGGAGGAAGCATTTGAGTGGCATCCGCAGCCCGGCTGTTGGCAGGACTTGGCCACAGGTTCTGGATGGGAAGCAGGCTCCAGCCACCACCGCCCGGCCACCAGAGTTCTGGAAGCCACCAGGGAGGACACAGCCACCGTCCCTGCAGCCAGACGTTTGAGGGACCCCACCACCAGCTTCCTCCCAGCCAAACTACGTCTGAAACTGGGTGCTTTATCCACCGCCTCCGGGACCCTTTGTGGCTGGGGGTTGCCCGGATCCCTTCCTGGGGTGCACACTCTAGGGGCGTCGTGTCTCCAGGTCTGGGCTGAGTTTCAGTAGAACCCAGGCCCCCCCACCTTCCAGCTCCCAGGCTGGCCCGGAGGGCTCGTGGGGTCCTGCCCGCACAGGCAACGGGTGGCGCTCCAGCCCAGCCAAGTTCGTTCACCGGACCCAGTGTCGCTCTGAAGTTTCTCTCGCTGCCTGCGGGGAGAGGGCAGTCAGACCCACTACCCCGACTGGGGGCCCCCGCGCCTCCTCCCTGCCCCGCACCCACGGGGTCACCCGGCCCGCACCCTGTGGGATGCACAGGGCGGGGGACACAGCTCCCCAGCCTGGAGCCCGGAGACAGCAGGGCCGTGGCATCCGGCCCAGTGGGGCGAGCACAGGATACTGCCCTTGCCCAGAGAGCCCCCACGCCAGGAAGGCTGGGCCCCCCGCCTGGTGCGGGAGAAGCCTTCCTGCCTCTGGCCCCTAGTTTGTGAGCAGAGAGCGGCCTCTGGTGGCTGTCGAGGGAATGACACCCCAGAGTCTGAGACCCCGTGCAGGAAGGCTGCGAGACAGGCCAGGATTTGCGGGGGAAGGGGCACTCCTTTTGGCCCCTCTGCAGACCGCCCTGGGAACCCACTAACTGGACACTCAAGCCTGTGGCCGCCAGTGAGGAGAAGGGCCCCTTTGTAAGTGTGGCCCAGCTTCAGCCAGACAGAGCTGAGCCCAGTGGGTCGTGAGCAGTGGCTGGTCCCCGGGAGAGGCTCCCCCAACCCCCAGCCCGGCCCAGCCCACCCCCGCTTTAGCTCGAGAACAAAGCACCGGATTGAGGCCTGCTGTGCCTGGGGAATGGTGGGCTGTCAGGCCCGGTGGAGTGGGACAAAAGAGAAAGCACGCTGTGCCCTCCTGGGGCTGTCGCTGAGCGCTGGGCCAAGTTTGTCATTATTTCATTTCTGAGTAGGTAATACCCAGAGCAGACTATTCAGGGGACGTACAGCTCCCCATTCTCCTCCGATCGATTCCCAACAATCCTTCCAGAAGTGGTCTGGGTGCCTAAAAGGACACGGGGACCTTGGCCCGTCGTTTTTACGGATGACACCACCTGCTGCCACTGGCATGTGCCTGCTGTTTTCACTTTGCAGTCTGTCCAGAAAACAGTCCATATCGGGATGAGGACGTCGCCATGGGGGGTGTCGCCGTCAGCCCGCCCCGTGACATTTCGCTGCATGGATGTCACATCCTTTAGCCGCGCATGGTCACGGATGTGCTGACTGCTCCTAATATTTTGCTGTGGCCCCAGAAGCACTGCCAGAACCTGCTGGTCACAGGGCCCAGGCCCTGCCCAAGGCCTGGGGACAGGCCTGATGTGACGTGTTGCGTGTTGGCAGATTTTCTACCCTGTCTCTAAAGTTTCTGCTCCCGGCAACAAAGTCTGAGTTCCCACCTCGCACCGTACGGCATGTGGGCAGGACTTTGCTCTCTGACACCCACACAGGTAGCAGTGGTTTGGAGCTGAGATTGTGTGTGAGGGTGGCCAGGACAAGAGCACCCTCAATGGCCCAGGCAGCAGGCCCCAGGGACTGGGCAGAGACTATGGTGGCAGGTGGAAACCAGGACGCCTCTGGGAGCACATATGAGCGCCATGTCCCCCTCCTGGGGCATGGGGTGGAAGGGGTGACAGCGAGCTGTGGGCCCTCCGTGGGCTCAGGACCGTGTCACAGACATGGTGGGGGGCCAGGAATGCCCTCACAGGTGCTGCAGTGGAGAAACAGCCACACGCCTTCAGCCCAAGCCAGGAAGCAGGGAGGGTTAACCTCAGAGGAGGGGACATGTCCCTCTCCTCCCAGGGCCCCTCTGCACATCCCGTCTGTCCCCGGGGAGCATCCCAGGCGCCTGCATTTAAATGAGAGGGTCCAAAGACCCTGGCCCACTCCCCACCCCACCCCCCACCCCAGACACATGTCAGCAAGTGAGTTCAGGCTCTGGGCTTTGGGCCAGCTCTGAACCACTGAGAAGTCTTTGTGTGGCAGCCACTATGGCCTGGGCAGGACTGTGCTGGACGCCTGTGGTTGAGCCGGGAGGGGACACAGTCCCCTTTCCCAGTGTGGGTCCCGCTGCTGCTCACCAGCCTGTGACCTAAGCACTGGGCCTCAGTCTGCCGGACTGTGGAATGGGGCCGTGAGAACAGGGCAGTGGGATGTTAACTGGTGATGCCCCTGAAGGGCTCGCAGCAGCATCTGGCAGGAAGTGGGGGGGGCAGGCTGAGGACCTGGGGGTTCGGTGGTGTTCTCTGACGCAGTGCAGTCCTCAGGGACTCCAAGGGTGCTTGAACAGCTGTGATTTTTGTCTCTTTGTTAATGAGACCTGGGCTTCTGGAGCGATGCTGCAGGCCACACGTGAAGGGTGACACATCTGTCACACATTAGCTGAGAGCCACTGGTCCGCTCCCCGGCACCGTCCAGCTCTCAGAGGGACAGACAGAGCCGTCTAGGCGGGTCGCAGAGCTGCCCGCCTGCTTCTCCCACCTCTCCCTCCCTACTCCAACACCTCATCCCTTTCTGCCCCCTGAACCTCCCAGGCTGGCCCTGCCTCGGGGCCTTTGCACAAGCTGCTGGGCATCCCTCAGGTCTCTGCCCAGTGTCACCCCCAGGGCCGTCTTCCCTGAGCACCCAGCTAAGGAGCCCTCCACCCGGCTCAGTTCCCCTCATAGCACCGCGGTTACGGGAATAGGCCCTGAAGCCAGATGGCCAAGGTTTGGTGTGTGATGAGGGGCAGGTGTCTTAACCATTCTGTGCCTCGGTGTCCTTGTCTCTAAAATGAGGATAATAGCACCCAGCTCATAAGATTAATTCAGCAGTTACTGAGCGCCTACTGTGTGCCAGGCATGAAAGGACACCGAGGACCTATGCCGCTGACCTCAGGCAGCTTCCCTGCATAGTGCTGTGATCCGGAGCAGGTTGGGGAACGGAAGGTGCCCCACAACGGTTAGCTGCCAGACCACTCATTGTAATTATCACTCGTGTGTGATGCAGTCACCGTCCATTCACTCATTTCCACGTCTGCTTGTTTATCGTGGGTCTCCCTGTGGAAGGTTGGCAGGGTGGGGTCTCCCCAGGTTTTTGCAGTCCCTTCCCCACCCCATGCCTGGCACAGCGAACCCTCAGTAAAGGTGTGTCTGATGGACAGACGACGGACTGTCCCAGGGGGCATCTGGGAGCGTCCCCCTGGGAAAGATGCTGCGATGTGGGGATCAACCCCACTGCCACAGCCCCCCTAGTCAGCCCCCAAGAAAGAAAGGACCCACCAGCCGACGCCCACCAGCTGGTTCCCCTGCAGGGCCTTGGAGGCTGGAGTGCTGTGACCTTGGGGCTCAGTTTCCTCTTCTGTGCAGTGGGGTGAATGCTAATGACACCTGCCCCCCACCAGGCTGGTGGGGTCCAATTAGAGAATGTGAAGGGGGGTGCTGACAGTTCAGCGATCTGTCCCCAAAACCCAAGCCAGGGCCAGCCCCAGGCACCACGGTGGCCCCCACCTGGCACCAGGGGACAGCGTATGTCCCGGGACAGCTGACTTCATTGGGGTCCTGCTCCCATATGCCTCCCCTTCTCTGCCTCTAAATGGGGACAACAGTGGCCGGGCTGTGGGCCTTGGGGAGGGAAGGCTGCATGAGACATGCACACAGTAAGCCGTCTTGTTTACCAGCGTGGTGACGCATCACAGCGCGGCCCTCCCCAGCCCACCGTCCAACCCACCAGCATTGCCTGGGCCTGGAGCCAGGACTGGGGCTGCAGGAAAACAGACCAGGTGCGTGCAGCCTGGCGACCTGTGGGCACGGCGACGGTTAGACCAGCAAGTGCTGCTCCGGGGGCGGCCGCGGCACTCCCCGTGAATGAACCAAAAGTCGCCAAGGGTGCTTTGTAGCGCCCAGAACAGACGCACATGGTGCCCACCAGTGACAAACGTAAAACCGGGGCCATGGGGAGGCCTGGAGAATGCTGGCGGTGACCGCGTCTGCGTCTGCGGGGTGCCTGCAGCCTGGCGTCTGCTCCCAGGCCTGTTTCCACATCTGCTACCTGCAGGGTCCTTGGAAGGGGGCGTCTACTTGACTGTAGGGACAGCCCAGCGGTGGGGCGGCCGCTGCGTATTGGGCGCCCCTGGGCCCCTGCCGGCGGCCCCGCCCCCTCCCCCTGCCTTCTGGAAGGTTCAGCCCTGCCCTCCCCAGCGCTGCCTGTTGCCCTGGAGACGCGGTCGCTGTGGCGACGGCGCCGGGAGGTCGGGTGGGTGCGTGGGAAGCATCTGGGCCAGCCCTGTTGTCCCACCTCGTTGGACACCCCCCAACCACTCCCACCCCTGCTCCGCTCCCCAACCCACCCCACCCCATCCTGCCGTGGCCCCACCATGGGGGGCGGGAGTGCATGTATCCTGGGGGGTCAGGGCTGGGGCGCAGGAGGCTTGGGGGCTTTAGCAGCGTTCGGCCCTGCAGGCACCACAGCCTTACAGTCGGCTTCTCACCTGGGCTTCTGTTCCTTTGGAGGCTAACACCCCCCTCTCCCGCCCCCTTAGCCTCCTCTGGCGTTTCAAAATGTATTAACTACCAGGAAAAAAAATGTAAACCCCAACCATGTGGCAATTTGCCTGTGCCCCTGGAGATTGGTATGAGCTGGCACGCTGGTGGGGCGGGCTGTCTCAGATGCCCCTCCCCAGTGCCCTCCGCTGAAGGTGGCTGGGCTGGGGTCCATGGGCTCTGCAGGCCCTCCTCAATCCACCTGAGGGGTGTCCACCTGAGGGCCGAGGCTGCCAGCACCCTTCCACACCCCCAGACCCTCCGGGGGCTTGTCCTGCTGTCAGGTGTGTCCTTGGGACTTTCCCCGTGAGCTGGGGAGTTGTTCCGATGTGCTCTCCAGCCAGAAGCCGACCACTCCACCACTGCAGGGCCTCGGGGGTCGTGGGAGGGCGTGGGTGAGGAGAAGAGGCTGGCTTTGTGATGCTCATGTCCCAGGGCCCACGGGGGCGGGGGGGAGGGGGGACACTGAGGCCAGACACTCAGACCTGCAGCTGAAACCTGTTTTTCAACGTTGTCAAACGGTTAGAAACCATCTGAAGTGCTCTGGAGGCCTCAAGGAAACGTGTGTGGCCGCCTGGCCAGGCTGCCAGAGCCTGGGGGAGCAGGTCCTCTGTGACCCCCACGGAGCCCTGTGGGGCTGGGGTGGGGGCTGCTCAGTGCACACACCCAGCTACCATCACAGCTTATGGGCAGGACTCGGGGCGTTCTCCCACGGTGCACGATTGTACCCTCACATCCACAGACAGCGAAACAGCCCAGAGGGGTTGAGTGGCTTGCTTCAGGGGCCCAGCAAGGAGGCATTTGAACCCGGGCAGCCTGGCTCCCGAGTCTGGGCTCATAGCCACCGTGCCTGCTCTGCTCGTGACCGGGTTCTTAAATCCAGGGTCTGAGTCCATTGCCCTTCTCTGTGGGTTTCAGGCCTTGGGTCCTAGACTGCTGCCTCACGGGTCAGTTCAGGGCCTGAATTTGGCACTTGCCACGTTTAATAACCTTTTTGTGAATTTGCATTTCTTAGCGTCCTCTGGGCATTTTGCTGTCTCAGGAGTGAGGGAGGATATTGCTGTCATGAGCAGTTGCACAGGTTGTGCACTGTTCAAGCTCACCTCCTCCAAGGGGCATCAAGTTTATTAAGACCCTTCTCCCGGAGCCACCTGTGAAGTAACTTAAGGAAGGGGCAAGCGGTGCCTTGTGGGCTCAGGAGGGGCTGGGGTTGGGGTGGTGTTGATTGGGACACAGGGCCCTTCTGGTGGGCCGAGCCCCGCCTCTACCCCCCACTCTGCTCTCTGCCCGCAGGACTGGCTGAGCAGGTTCGGCTACCTGCCCCCGCCGGACCCCACAACGGGGCAGCTGCAGGCACCAGAAGAACTGTCCAAGGCCATTGCAGCCATGCAGCGGTTTGGGGGCCTGGAGGCCACCGGAGTCCTGGGTCAGTCCTTCAAGGGAGACGGGTGCTCCCCAGGCCCGACCTCCCGAAGCCTGGCTTCTTTTACTTCCATCCCTTTGAGGCCCCCCAGCCAACCCGTGGGGCATGGGGGGACGGGTCTCCTGTCTCGGGCAGGACCAAGGATTCCCGCCATGTGGGAGCCCCTCGCCTCCCTCAGGTGTGAGCACAGCAGAGGCGAGTGTGTACCAGCTGTGCCACACTGTATGGCAAGGGCTTAAACTCAGTGCCCACGTGGGCCAGGCGGCCCGCCAGGCCTGCTGATTCTTGTCCTGTGGGAGTGCCAGCCCTGTGCTGCCCAGACTCCCAGCTTTCCAAGAGAAACCAGACATCTGGGGGAGGAGGTATGTGAGCACCCCACTTTCTGCGCGTTGGCAAGGAGTTCCAATTTTCTAAAGGCCTTCTTCAGGCCCGGCTGATGGAGACACATCTGTCCCCAGGCTTCTGAAGGGGAGACACGCGTGTGTCGCTTGAAATGCAGGAAGAGTTGGCAGCACTAGTCCCCATGGGGGCCCTGCCCCGAGTTAGTAAATGCTTTGAGCGGCCCTGTCATCCCCCATAACTGGAGGCCGGGGCCTCATCCCCACCAGACCTGATGCAGGAGCCAGAGGGACAGCCTTTGGGGCTCCTGGGGACCCCAGGTCGGGGGTGAGCTGGGCCTGGCTCCTGACCCTCGCCCACCCTCCCCACAGACCAGGCCACCTTGGCACTGATGAAAACCCCACGCTGCTCCCTCCCTGACCTCCCTGCGGCCCCAGCTCGAAGGAGGCGCCAGGCTCCGGCCCCCACCAAGTGGAGCAAGAGGAATCTGTCATGGAGGTGGGCGGCAGGGCACCAGGGCCTCCCCGGAAAGTCCCAGTGTCCCCTCTGCTCTGGGACCAGAAGTCCAAGATCCAAGTGTCATAGGGCTGGGTCCTCCCAAGCTCTGAGGGAGTGTCTGTCCCCAGCGGCCCTGTTGCTCCAGTCCCTCCCACGGCCGCCTCCTTTCCAGTCCGTGTGCCCTTTTCTTTCTCATATGAGGATGCTAATCCTTACCGTAGTCACATCTGCAAACCCCATTTCCCTGTAGGGCTCCACTGCCCAGCCCTGGGGAAGCCAGTCCAGGGAGACCCTGCGGGCGGGGCGGGGGGGGTGGACCCCAGCCTGTGCGGTGACCCGGCGCCGCCTCCTAGGGTCCGCACCTTCCCGCGGGACTCGCCCCTGGGCCGCGACACGGTGCGAGCGCTCATGCACTACGCGCTCAAGGTCTGGAGCGACATCACGCCCCTGAATTTCCACGAGGTGGCGGGCAGCCGCGCCGACATCCAGATCGACTTCTCCGCCGCCGACCACAACGACCGCTACCCCTTCGACGGCCCGGGAGGCGCGGTGGCCCACGCCTTCCTCCCTGGTGACCACCACACCGCCGGGGACACCCACTTCGACGACGACGAGGCCTGGACCTTCCGCTCCTCAGGTGCGTCCGGGCTGAGTGTGAGTCTCTGGGGACCCTGCATGACCCAGGGGCCCCGACAGACCCCGTGGGGTTACAGGGAGCCACACCGACCCCGTGAAGATGGGGAAGCCACCAAAGCTCACTAGGACCCAAGCCCCGTGCACACCAGCAGCTCAGGAGGACCGCTGGGCAGTCCTAGCTCAGCCGGCCACACCCACCCGTCTCTCGGGGGGGACAGCCTGCCCTAGGGTCTTGGATGGGCTTACAGGACCAGGAGGATGGGGAACACGGCTCCATGGGTCTCCCCTGACTGGCTGAGCCGGGCTTGTCCTCGTCCTGGTCTCAGCTTCCAGGCAGGCATGGAAGCTACGAGGCCTCGGCAGGCCTTGGTACGACTTCTGACAAGGCCACAGGCCCCCCGGTTCCAGGGGGACCAGGGCAGAGCCACGTGGCACAGGGTGTGGATGTGGGTGATGAGGTGGGGCCCCATGAAGCTAGTGCCCACGCTGACCTGTGGAACTGGGCTGTCTGCAATGACGGGGGCCCAGGCCCATCCCGTGGGGCCTGGGGAATCCCTTCAGTGCTGTGGGGCACAGGGACCCTACACTGGCCCCTGGAACTTGGGGTGCAGAAGGCTGGCAAGGCCTGATAGTTACCATGTGGCCGGCACAGGAAAAGCTGCCACCCCCACTGAGGGTGGAGCGTGGAGCCAGGGAGGACCGAGGCCCCTACCCACCCCATAGGCCCACGGGGGCGGGGGGCGGGCGAGGGCAGACAAGCCCTGAGGGAGCACAGCACCCGGGCTCACTGGCTCCCCGTGTCCCCAGATGCCCACGGCATGGACCTGTTCGCGGTGGCCGTCCACGAGTTTGGCCACGCCATTGGGCTGGGCCATGTGGCGGCCCCGCGCTCGGTCATGCAGCCCTACTACCATGGCCCTGTGGGTGACCCACTGCACTACGGGCTGCCCTACGAGGACCGCGTACGCGTCTGGCAACTGTACGGTGAGTCCTCCCCGAAGCCAGCTCGGTGGCCCAAGGATGGGTCCCCAGCACGCAGTCCCACGGGAAGGGTTCCTCTATCTTTTCACCCCACACGCTCAGCGTCCAGCGCCCTGCCTGGCACACACTGCTCACGTGCGTGCAGTGAACACGCAGCTTCTGTGGGCGGGGGACCCAGACCTCCCCCAGAGCCTCCGCCCCAAGCAGGACTTCACGTCTAACCCCCAAGTGGTCTCCGGTGTGACAGCTGGCATCCATGGGGTCCCAGGCCCCGCACAGGTCTCGTGTGTTAACTCGTCCAGTCCTGGCAGCCTGTGAGGGAGGGGTTGCTGTCCCCACTTACAATGGGAGAGCTGAGGGGGGATGACCCGATGGCCAGGTGGAGCCGGTCCCAGCCTCTCTGCTGGGGACACATCAGGAAATACGGCGGAGCTGGGCCCAGGCTGTGATGACGTCTCCCCCGTCCACCCTGCCTGTCTGCTCCATGTCACCTTCCGGCACCGCCCCCACCCCCAGCCCTGCCAGCGTCCCTGGCGCCTAACGCCCTCTGACATCTGGATTTTCTGTGGTGAAATTTACCGTCTTAACCACTTTAAAGTGTACAACTCAGCGACACGTGCAGTCAGTGGTTCCAGGACTGTGTCATCACCGCCCCTGCCACAACAGACCCCATCCCCACTCCCCAGCCCCCGCCACCGCTCTGGACGGTTCCTGTAACTGGGATCACACCATGTGTAGCCTTGTGTGCCTGGCCTCTTCCATGGAGCCTCCGTGTCATAGCGTGTGTCAGCGCTTTGTCCCTTTTCACGGCAGAATGGCTTGATTTCCCCGTTGATGGACATTTGGGTCGTCTCCACCTTTGGGCCACTGTGAATAGTGTGAACATGTGTGTACAAGTTTCTGTGTGAACACACGGGTAACTTGTGAGGCCCGTGTCCACCTCGTCGCTGGCTGCGGCCTGGGAGCCTGGCCTGCCCCGCTCGTGTGGAGGGGGGTCCGCACGGCCTGTCTGCCCTCAGTTCTGCCCTGGGGGCCCAGGTAGGGTGGGGAGATTTGGAGGGAGGCAGGCGCGCGAGTTCCATGCAGCCACCTTATCTCCACAGGCGTGCGGGAGTCCGTGTCCCCCACGGCACAGCCAGACACCGAGGAGCCCCCCCTCCTGCCGGAGCCCCCCAACAATCGGTCCAGCACACCGTAAGCCGCGGGCCCCTGTTCCCACACTGCAGCCAGCACTGCCCCCAACAGTGTCCTGAGCTCCAGGCTTTTCGGAGAAAAGCATGGCTCTGGGCTGAGCCCTGCGTGATGCTTTGTTTCCTAAACCCCTCAGATGGCGTGGGCACAGCTGCTCTCCCAGCCTGGCTGTGCAGAGGGTCATGCCGAGCGTGATTTCCTCTCAGCCTTTGCCCCAGTCACCTGCCGCTGCCTCCACCTCCCCCACCCTGCCTGCCCCGTAACATGAGAAGCTGGAAGACTCTTGGCTCACGAGTGCCGACCCCACAGCAGGAGCTGGTCTCTGCCCCACGGTGGACGGGACGTTATCACTGGTGGCTCGGAACACAGGGGCCCGCCAGGCACCCCCCAACCCTGGTGGCCTGTGCAGGAGACAGGAGTCTGCCCGCCTGTTAGCCCCGAGCTGCAGAGGTCCCTTCAGCGAGCCCTTTGCCTAAATCAGAGCCGCCTGCTCTCACGAGGCAGATGCCACAGAATCTGTAGAAGGCGGTCCCTGCCCCCCCCATCCCTCCCACACACACACACTAACTGCTTGCCGTGTCTCCATGCCACCTTCATGGGCACACAACACACTAAACACAGGCACGTATTCAGGCTTACCTGGCTTTACCTGGCTTAGCTTTTGTCTTCAGCATGGTCTTACACTCGCCTCATTTAGCTGGATGTCACGAATTTCCATTCATGTTGGAAGATGTTGCTCTGACCTTTTTTCTTCGTCTCACCCGTTGGATACGCAACGTGTGGGAATGGTGTGCCACCCCAAAGGCGCTGAGAGCGCCCACAGTGAGCAGGCCGTCGTCCTGCTGCCTCCCAAGCCCTGCCCTTCCAGAGACGCGCACACGCCCGTGACCCAAGTCCAGTGGGCACACCATGTGCTGGATTCTTGCCCGCAGGCGCCCTGCTGTGTTCCAAGCTTTGCGTCAGGCGGGCAGGCACAGGTCTCCGTGCCTGGCCTTCCACTGTCGCCATCACATTGCCTGCGTCCTGTCCAGGGCAGAGCTGCAGATCGGCA